TGCCTGTAAACCGAATAACATCACAGTGCAAAATAAAATTATCCCAAAAATACTGCCCGTGAATAAATTTACAACTCTGAAATTTTTGTCACTCCTTCCTTCAATGAAGGAATTTTTTTTTTTATTTTTTTTCTTGATTATTATGTTTTGCTCTGTAATACATGTTTATACGGATCGGTTCACATACATGGGCATCATTGTCATTCGTCCCCCCTGGCTGAGGTGCGAATTCCTCGCAGAGCTGCCGCTCGTGCTCATTTTCTGGTCATAAACAAAGGTGCTGGACAGTTCTATCTGAGCTTCGATACAAGGTAGCTTACAATCCCAATACCTTTTTCCCGAATTGGAAACAACGTACAGCAGGAAAAGCCGTTGAGGATGCATTGCAATACATCAAAATGTATGTAGCAGGAGTTTGAACCAAAACTGCCAAGAGATATTTTAAAAATGTCGAGGAACAAGTCATTCGACGTCAGAGCAAAGTTTGGAGTAATTTATAGTGCTTCTAAAACTGAAAAGTACCTTTTAAAGAAAAGCACGATAGGCAATCGGCTTCTGTTTTCAGAATTAGCAAACACTGAATTTACTTGTCCCGAAAATTGAAACTGGTGTCTCCTTCTTCCTGATAGTAATTTATTTTTGAAATTCCAAAACAATTTCACAGCTGAATTTTGAGCGACTTTTAGTTACGGACTTCTGCTCCAACGATTTTTCTGAAATTCCTCTGGCATATTTATTATATCAATTAAAGCCGATACCAGAAATTTCAGTAAAAAATATCAGCAAAATTTTTTACTAGACGAAATTTTCTTTGAACAGTAGGGTCCTTTTAAGCGCTAATTTCTCAAGAAATATTTACCAGCAACGAAATCGGAATATTTTGTATTATTGCCGAATGATATCTGTTGCTTTTTGCAAAGTTTCGCAGCCATCGCGTTGAAATCGAAAAAGTTATGACGGAAAATTTCTCACAGCTAAATGCTCTTATACTAATTACGGAGCCACCTTAACATTATTAGAGTGTACCAGACAGATTTCGGATATAAATAGTCACTGCTGTTTAAGTTAAACAAACTTATTAGATAATTGGCAGCAATCACTTTGTTAAGGGTTACAAAACCAAACCAGTATAAAATAATCAAAACACGTTTATTAAACAGTCATCAAGTGGGGTGTCGAGACGTCATAAACCATCGAGGTCTGGATAGCCTGCTTATGTCATTAATTACCTTCCGATTATTATATTATTTGAGAAACGCCGGTGGAGAAGGATTGAAAAACGAATTTTCCCTACGACAATCGTTTTTCTTGAGATACAAACTTTTAAAATTATATTATACAAAGCACTTAGTAACTAGTTAACAATTCTCTTTATTTACTTCCTTGTTGCATGACCATTCTCCACGTGGTTTTATTCAGTCGCCTTACGTCAGTCAACCCGCCAAGCGTCAGTCTCTTGTGGTCCCTTATCCTCACTGCGTTTACACGTGCGTATAAGCACGTCATTAATGGTACTAGAGTTATCTCGTCAACAGTTCTTTAGGCATCTACACCAACTCGCAAGCTAGCTAGGTTTTCCTTCGACATTTGTTTTTACCGGTTAGTACGTTTGAACTTTCGTAAGGATAAAAATCCCAAAGCCTCCCAACGTCACTCTTCATGTAAGCGCCTTAGATGATGTTTGACCTTGTTTTTCTTTTTAATGTCTTCTTCGATACATAGTAGTCAAGCCGTGAGTTACCCTTTAATACTGTACAGTATTGTTAAATTTTTCGTTTAGAGTGTTTAAGTCATTTGTTAAGAGCCAACTTACTTGTAAAATCATATAGCATTGTTTGTCATTCCTTCAGCAACGTATACTAAAACTTATTTTGACTAAGACATGGTTGCTTTAAAATGCACTGACTTTATGATCAGATAGCTATTACTGTAAGTACTTAGCGTATAATTTAAAACACTTCTGAGCACGGGTGGCGCGGAAAAATCTAACGTCGATTGAAGAATCGAACGAATGATGATGGACACCCTCTCTATGAGTCTCCACTGTGAGCCCTGAGTTCGTGCAGTCTTAGGTTTTAGTTTGATTCTTGTTCGCGACATAGTCAATCTCTCTTTTATTCACTGAAGATCTACCATCGTACCGTCCTTTATTCATCAAAATGCGAAGCATATATAGCGCTATGAAGTTCTAGGACTTCTTGAAAGCACGTCCTCTCATCGATAAACTCTCCGCGTCGGTGGAGCAGCGGTTCCTTAAAATAGAGATGACATCATCTTAAACTCTTTAAGCTGCTTTAGGGAGCGTATTGGTGATTACAGCGTCTATAGGAAGTAATTTTTCGCATCAACAGTTGGAAAAAACGTGATGTAGTGCAGGAGGCATCAAAGATTTCAGATCACAGGCATTTCCAGCCGATCTTTTGTTACATTAAAATGTCTTTCAGTTTTTTAACGTACGAGACCAAAATACAAATATTTTGTTTTCATTTTGGACAGAGACACGTTTCATTTAAGCCAAACTATCTAATTCCCCATAAGGATCAACATCTCCTTTTACCCTTGATCCAATAAAAAGTTAGTTAAAAATTTCCACTTCTGTCTCGGATAGTTTTATCTACGGGCAGGAGCTGCCTATTGAAAGCTAATAAAAAAATCATTTCCATCACTTTGTACACTTCTTGCAATATTTTGATAGTGATATCTGGAGCTATAAGATTTCAACTCTCACAGTTTATTAACCTTATACAAAATTTCATGATAGTGGTTTTGCGTGCTCTTGTTCTTTAAGTTCAGTTGTTGTTTCTATTTATTTAAACGGCTCCTTACTTCATGTTAGTTTTTTTCCCTTTCTTATAGTGTGAGAACTTGCGCCCAGTTCTGCCCTATATATATTTATATACCAAATCTGACAATTTTTTTTCGTATCATATTTAGCAGATCGACGTCCGTGCGTCATAGTGTATTCAATTTTTTACTCTTTTTAGCTGGGAAATAGTCAGTAAAGAAACGATAAATGGTACTGATACAAATTCGTTACACTTGTAACATACCTAGAACAGGTGCGAAAGGAATGCCTCACTAACAGAGTCAAATTACCGACAGGATGTGAGAAATTGCTATGAATAACACAGAATAAAGGAACATTCCCAACAATGTCCTTTCACCTGTTACTTTTTCTTTTTCTTTTTTTTGCCGTATGCTGGCCGAGGTCGACCTCATTTTTTGAGTTTCTTTGTTTACAGCAGAGTTAGTAAGAAAAAAGGAAGGATTGAACGGCTATTTCAGACGGGAGTAATCTCGGTTAACTACCGAGAGCACGTGTTTAAAATCTGCATTAAGCTGTGCATTTAATTATAAAATACGTTAAGAACGTGGTTGTAAAAGAGAATCAACAACAATAAGATAAAACACTTCCTAAAAGCGTAACATCGGCAATAACTTCAGTGTTTACTTTGTCAAGAAAAAAAAGCGCAGTTATCCTTTTATTTGTATTTTTTAATAATTTTAGGAAATTTGAATTCGCAAAATGGTTTTCAAAACAAGAATGACGTGAAAACAGCAACGGAAGTTATTTGCTGTAACAGTGTAGAAGGCTGTTGCCGTCAAAAGTAGAGGGTAGAGAGGGGAGATTTGAGGGCCTTTTAAACTTTAATTAGGTTTCAAAGTTAGAAAGTGCAAAGTCAAGGAATTTTCCCTGCGAGCTAGCCCAGCCAAATTCAAATCAGTTCTCTGACTGATAATTATAATGCTAATCGCAGTGCAAGGGAGAACTAGTGATTGACAAGATTAAGACACTTATCAAATGGTGCGATTCTGGTATGGCAGGCTCCTGGGTATGGCTTTTTTAGCCCGCGATCAAGCTCTCTGTGGGGCTCTGTGGGCGTGGGAGGGGAAAGAGTTTTCTCTCGCCCCCGCTCGCTCCCTCACAGAGCTTCCTTGCAGGCTAAACTTCTTTAAGATGACCGGCCAGATGGGAGGCAGCAATTGGGTTGCAGTTGTTACAAGGGACGTAGTTCCTCAGTTGTACTTTAAAAACGAGCAGGGAACTGGAGCCGTTTTTTCCCTTTCCCCAGTAACATGCCCAGAAGTCTTTGCGAAAGTTAATTCGGCCCAGTTCCCTTCTCGTTTCTAAAGTTGCGAATTGGGGATCCACTCAGTAGGCCGAGTCGGGCGCGGTTGAGCTGTACATTTGTTGAATATTTACGAGGTAAGCGAAGAGAGTCTTTGATTGACTACTTTGAGTCTCGACCACGATTAAAGTTTAAAAAAACGACTACTTGAGCAAGCCAGCGGAATTGAAACACCTATCCAAATTCGCCACTTTATATTCGTTATAGAGACGAGAAGGGCAGTGGGCTGAAGTAACTTTCGCAAAGACTTTTGAGATCGTTATTGGACACATGCAGGTCAGCTATTGGCCAATCTTTTTCTCTGCCCCCAGTAAACGTCCCAAAAGACTTTGCAAAAGTTAACTCGAACCAGCTTCTTTCTAGTTTCTAAAGTGACGAATTAACCATACGCGTGCGCATTTAACCATTGGTGTAGTGCGTTGTACAGGTTTTGGAACAGAGAAAACATTTTACTTCTAGGCATAGCCATTAGAAATCATCAAAGATATGTATAAAATACTCTCTTGAATACCAGTCTCAAGCGTAAAGGAGTTCAAAAATTAATATAACGAAGTATAAATAATTCAATAGACCTATTCGGCTAACGCAATGTTGTACCCAATTCAGATCTCTCGGGGTTAAGATTCTTTGTGCACTGTATTTGCATTAGAAGGTGGCATTCACATTTTAAAAATGATATGGAAATTCCTGAAACAAAACGTTTTATTCCCAAAGGGTTTGAATTGGGTACAACATTGAGTTAGCCGAATTGGTCTATCACCTTTTTACACATTAAATAGACTTAAATAGAATCTTAAAGGTACATTGTTAGTTTGATTGCAATCACGTTGTATGGCATTTACAGCCAGAGGTATAAGCGTATGTGTTACCAGCCGAATCCTGGTCTACTGTTTTGATCTTCTCGCATAAAAATTTTCCATTGACAGGCTGGCATCCAAGATTTGTAGTGGTAAAGCACTCATGTACTTTCACAGCAAGGCCTATCGCAACCATTTCTAGCTTAACTGCTTTAACGCAAGGGTTGGAGGTAGTGTTGTGGTTTCGTCGAAATCTAAGACTCCTTTCTTCGGTTATTTTGTTAGCGTTTAGGAATTTCTGTCTGCTAAACAACTTCATCTCTTTCCCAAGAGTTTGCGAAGTAGCTTGATCGTCGTTATCTTGACCCATCCAATCTTCACGCGACTTAGGGCGAGCATAAACAGAGTAATGGAAAAAAACGATAATGACTGTCAATAAAAAGCTGAATTCCTGTAAATGAAAACAAAGTGCGTTAAAATTGAATAAAATGCACATTGTTTCTAGAATTATGTAACAGCTTTCACCGGATGGTTTTCTCTTTCCCCTTGGGAGGAGGGTGAGGCTGCAGCGAATGAAATAAAGTTTCTAAATCGAAAATCAGCCTCATGCTTGAAAAAATATATAATTATAAATGAAACGACAAAAGGACGTTTTATGGCTTTCCTTAAAGGACACGACATTTGAAATGTTGTCTTCATTTTGGACTCGGCCTGTATTTATGCCATCCGACTCTAGGCTTTTAAAGATTTAGTCTGCTCGGCAGCCGTTCTTAGTGTCGTCACGCAACGCTCCTCCAGGAGCGTTGCATGACGACACTAAAAACGGCTGAGTAGCAAACTATGATAGATTAAGCTAGCATATTTTTTGGCATAATTCGTCATTACGAGGATAATCTCCACCTGTCAGAAAAAGCAATCCTAGCATAATTTCCCCTTTTGGTCATTTTTGCAGCACAAAATTGTCATTTATTGATCGTGCAACCAATTTTTTTGGCAAATTTTATTTTTTGTCTGCTTTTGGGAACCGTGTCCCACTGTAAGTGACCCAGGACTCTCTCCACAGGATTCAACGCATGTGCTTAACAAGCTCGGTTACCCAAGATGGCGTCCGCGTGCTGGTTGTATACGTATATTTTTTGGAGTTTTTAAAGTTGTCCCTAGATGTAAATAGGGCAAATGTGTTTGCCATTTACTTGTTTTTTGCATAGTTATTGAGGATTTCTTACCAAATTTAACGAAAAAAGTAGAACCATAATTTCTGCATTTTTTGCTAAAATGAGTAGCACTACTAGTAGCATATTACGCAATCTATCAAAGCCTATCGGACTCGGAATAATTGCAACTATCCTATTACCCGTATTCCAACAGAAAATGGTTTTTAAAATTTCCAGTTGAGTCAAATTTTTTGGGGAAGGGAAGGAGTTGCTAAACACTACAAAATAGCATTCCTCTTTAAAGTTATTGCCTTTAAAATGGTCACATGTGGAGGACAATGAACCTAATAATTTTTAACCATAACCCACCTTCATTATATTGATTGGCGTTTTCTAGCTCTTTAACTATAGTTGTATCTTCTACGTATTTTAACTGTTTTTAAACGCCAAATTTTTTTCCTTTCATTCAGTATGAGAACGTATGGCTAGACGAACCTTATATATACTAAATTTCACTCGATTTTGTCTGTCGCCTGTCTTATATTTAGAAGACGTCCGTCATAGTTTATTTTATTCAGTCTGTACTTTTAAGACGGAAAATAGACATGGAGGAAATGATAAAACGCACTGCTATAAGTTTGTTACATGCATACGTAACAACCTGGTAGCAGATGGTACGAAAGGGGCCACTTTAAAAACAGAATTAAATTTCCGAAATCAGAAATCCATATTAATAACAAAGAAAAAATCACAAAAAATAAAAAATAAAGTCTTCTGCCTTCTCATTTTTTTCTTTGGAAAATTTTTAAAAGTTTTTTTTGCAGGAAAAATCTTGCGACTCCATCTTTGTTAGTGGCAGCCTCTGTTAAAAAGGCAAAAAAATGGTAATGATTGTTTGGTTATTTTAGAAAAAATTTAAATATTCTTATCACGGTCAAGTATCGAGGGCACGTGTCTAGACTTTGATTTTAATTATAGAAGTACATTTATAGAATAGGATGTAATAGTAGAAGAAAATCAACAAGAACTAATGTTCATACAACGTCAGTAATGACAAAAAATGCTTAAAAACCAAAATAATGTAATTTTAACAAAAGCATTTACTCTGAAAAAATGAACGCACTGGACGTTTTATATCCAGTTTTAAACATTTCAATAATTGAGAAGCAGAATGTTAATTCAGTTTCAAAACTAGATTACGTGATTACAGGAACGGAAGTTATGTAACTCACAGTAAAACTGGGGTTTTTCCGGTTATCACTTTAAATTGCCCTGTCTTTTCGAGACTTGCAAGAAAAACAATTTCGGCATAGGAAATTGTCACAATAATAGTGTAATTTTGCCAAGATGTTTGTACAGAATAATGGTCTTTTTTGGGGGGGAGGGGGGGGGAGATTTTAAGGGCCTTTGACGAGTTAACATTAACCTGTAATTTTAAAACGGCTTACGGTCCGTAAGAAAGAATATAGTCCCAGAAATTGAATTCCGCAGATAATAGATCTTGTTAATAGTATCGTATTGAATGCTTTATATCTACACTTTTATTGTAATGTAATGAAGTTAGTCTAACACAGCCCATAATCGTTTATCGTCAAGTCTTATCGCGTCAAAATAAATGTGAACAAGCAAAAACGTCTCGCGTATAAACCTAGTACACTTAAAAAAGTCAGAACTGGCCGACCGGAAAGTTAATTTTGAAAAAAAATATTCCTTTACCCCTTTCTCAAAAGTTTTGTTAAAACCCATCTTTGCCTTGCCTTGCACACTTTGCAGGAATAGACTAACGTAGGCCTTGAATTCTATTTGCGACTAGACTGGTCTAGCCGGCCATTTTTCTCCCATGGAAAGCTCAGGCACACTGTCTTATTTTGGATAACGGATGGGGGAATGGGGAGAGATCGGAACCCGTTATTAGACCCCTCACGGTAAGTGTAAGACTGGCAAGAGCCCCCTGGTAAACCTGGTGTCTTGCTCTCTCTGAGTTTCTCTGTAGCACATTTGAGGATGGAGTCTCCACCTGGTGATTGGGTGTTCTTAGATTCGAATCTCTTCGGGACCTCAGAATGTTTCCCTGTCCATCACTCGAGACAAAAATTCAATTGTTCAGTGTGATTAGATGTTAGTCAGTGCTAAATGATAGTCTATCTGGCTTTCTGAAGGTTCACTCAAGAGCAACCGCTGTTCTTGAAATGACAGAGGATTTCAGTGGACAATGATGAGGAGCATTGTGTCGCCATTGTAGTGGACCGGTATCAAAGGAACCAAGACTCTGTTCACCTGTGCTCAAGTTAAAAGCTTCGGGCTTTGCTGATATTGCGTTGAATTGTATTCGATCATAGATCACAAAACCTCAAAAAGTCAATATAAGTAATAAATACTCTCACTTTAATAGAAATCTCAAACCTAAATAACAATATAAATAATTCAATACTTTTTACATGTTAAATAGACTTAAATATAATCTTTAATTTACAGTTTGATTTCATTCATGGATTTACACATCGACAGCCGGAAATATAAGCTTGTATTTTACCAGCCGAATCTCGATACATTGACAACCTCTTCTCACATAAATATTTTCCATTAACAGGGTTGCATCCAAGAATTGTTGTGTTATAGCAAACATGTTCTTTCACACCATGGGTTGCATTAATCAGTAGTACTTTGACTTCTTTAACACAAGGGTTGAAGCTAGTGCCATGGTCTCGCCGAAATCTAAGATTCTCTTCTGCTGATGTTTTCTTGAAATTTAGGATTTTCTGCCTGCCAAACAACTTGATTAGAAAGGGTTCTCAGACGCGTCATCGAAAGACTAGAACTGGGTAGACAAGCAGTGCACTGACTCCCGCTCGTACTTGCCTCATTACCGTTATTAGAATGATGGCTGTCAATAAAAAGCTGATTTCCTGTAAAAGAAAAAGGTGTGATCATTAGTATTTGATAAAATACACCATGGTTGCTGGAGTATTTAGACGGTTTAATTTTTACAAAAAGCATAAATCTCCCGTGGAATAGAAGAACGTTTTATAAGTGGAGGTGTCACGTACTATGTGGCTTTATAGCTTCAAGGCAAGTCAAGTTAACAACTTTGAAATTTTTATGGTGATCCGCCGTCATCTTCTTATCCTCAAGAATATTTTGAGACAGAAGCCAAAGTTTTTTTGCGTTGCAATTTTTAGTCAAGCTGTTGTAGAAACTTTTCTTATGTCAAATTGCTCTATCTTTTCTAATCTTTGTGGGCAACAAACTGTGTTCTTTTCTGGTGGAGAGTTTTAGTTTGAAATTTCTCCTCACGGCAAACAATGAAATGGTAGGACGCCATTGTCAACTATAAAGCATCACTACAATGCTTTGTGAGAAAACATTGTTCTGCAATTGAAAAAATGTTGATGACACCTTTTTTCAAACCTCAACCTACCTTCATGATTGTATATTGCGTGTTCAGTTCTTAAACTTTCAGTTAAGTAATTCTTCTTTTTTCAAGTCCTGTGAAGTTATGATACCCTAGGGCCAGCTCACCCCTTTATATACGAAATTTTCATAGTTTTTTTCGGTTATATTTAGAAAAAATTCTTCATAGTTTATTTTAATTTTTTCCTTTTTAAATGGGAAATTGGCACAAAGGAAACGATAAAACTTACTGTTACAAGTCAGTTACACACTCGTCACACACCGTGAACAGGTGCTTAGACTGACGGGTTCGTTTCTTAGGATCAAATTACCGACAAAAAATTGGATTTATTCTAATAGGATATAGAAAAAAATCCACTCTTCTTACCACTACTCTTTTTCTCTTCCGGAAAAATTTTTATAACTATTTTGCTGAAAGACTATTTTAGTTTTCGAATATTTTTAGGCAGTTTAGTTTGAGAAAGGGAAACATCAACATTATGAAAAAGGAAAGCTTTAATATGTTATTTTAGAAATAAATTAAATATTCTTATCACGGTCTTGAGTGAAAGCACGTATTTTCAATGTTCTGCGTTTAATTTTAGAACTACATTTACAGCGTAGTCTATGGTTTGAGCAAAGTCAATAAACGAATTTTAGTATATGTGAGGGAAATTGCACCTTTTTCAAAGAAGTCTGGAGTTAAACATGTTCCATTGGCAGAATCGTTTGTTTCAAGAACTTAAACGACAAGCAGATATAAGGCTTCCTATAAGATCAATCCATTCTGCAATTTACATTCGCAATAAATTCATGTTATAAGTGGCTGAAGAGGATGGCTGTGATGGGAGTCCTGGCATTTACTTCGTGTACCAGACACAGATGACGAAAACAAAAGAAAAAACCATGAAACAATACCAAGCAAATTTACCCTGAACAAAACTCAAAAAAGTCTTTTGTTTTACGCTATCTGTGTCCAGTACACTGGACAAATTGTTAATTCATTTGGTCACGGAAAGTGTACATTTGATTGTCATCCTGGGAATTTCAAAAAGTATGGCTCTGGCAACCATGTCTCGAAAACCTCATGAATGTTGAGAATTGAGAAACTGATCACCTTCAACACGACCTGGACATTTTATACAATTTCACTCCTGCAAGGGTATTTGTTTCTCATGCATGTACACAAATAAATATGAACACTTTCATAAATGATTTGGTACTTTTTACAGGGATTCAGTGCTAATGAAGGCCTGTATATTCAATAATCACAAGTTATGATCACTGTCATAATTCTCATGAACTGCATCGTTAATGACATTGCTACATGTAATTTCTACTTTAGTGATTATGTTTGCACCTTTACTGTTGCAAACAATTAGTTTTCAAGAGTGATTATCTACTAAAACAAGTGAAAACACTCTCATTGCTGTAGTTCACTTAACAATAAATATTTTTTCCTCCAATTACCAGCATTTACTTGTTGTTTTCACTACAGCAATATCTCCTATCATTCCATCCACTCACTACTGCTGACACACTTCACAAATGATTATATATAATTACACTTCTGTAGTATTAGAGATGGCATGGGTCAGCTTTTATTAAGCAAATGCAACTGAATATTAGCCTGCAGTTGTTCACTATCACACCTATTTTCTTTTTACAATAATTACACATGTAGAAGGGTCAAATGGGGTGAACACGGGACCTATGCAACATTTAGCTACC